GGTGCGGGACGCAGAGCCGGCGGCGGGGCCCTCCCGCTGGCTGCCCACGCACGTCCAGGTGACTGTGCTGCGGGCCCGCGGGCTGCGGGGCAAGAGCTCGGGCGCGGGCAGCACCAGCGACGCATACACGGTGATCCAGGTGGGCCGCGAGAAGTACAGCACGTCGGTGGTGGAGAAGACGCAGGGCTGCCCCGAGTGGCGCGAGGAGTGCTCCTTCGAGCTGCCGCCCGGCGCCCTGGACGGCCTGCTGCGGGCGCAGGAGGCCGACGCGGGCTCGGCGCCCTGGGCCGCGGGCAACGCTGCCGCCTGCGAGCTTGTGCTCACCACCATGCACCGCTCACTCATCGGCGTCGACAAGTTCCTGGGCCAGGCCAAGGTGGCGCTGGACGAGGTCTTCGGCGCAGGCCGCGCCCAGCACACGCAGTGAGTGGGGGGTGCGGGGCCTCAGAAACGGTTAGAAGGCCTTACCGAGCGGGGATGGCCGGGGAGAAGGACCCAGAACCTTGGCCGTGTCCGTGAGCCCCGTCCTCGCGCTCAGGGGCGTAAACCGAGAGACAAGTTGGCTATTAGCATTTCGGGGTCCCCTCCGGCCCCCCAGACGTGCTCTGTGCTGGGTTTGGCCGCTGGGGGGTCCCTGGAAGGTGTGGGTGGCGGCCATACATTAGGGGTAGATTGTCAAGTAAAGTTAGGAGTGGGATCCAGAGGCTTTGGGGCTTTGGAAACCTCAAGAAGGACAATCTTAGGGCCTCTGGGCCTGTCTCCCTTCCTCGAAGGGGAAAAGAACTGCGGGCTTCTGCCTCAGGCTTCTGCCTCAAGCTCGGCCCTCAGGGGAGTGGAGAGGCACAGCCTCTCCCTGTGGCAGAAGGAAGGTGAGGTGTTATCCTCCATGGCGAGATTGAACGGAGACGCTCCCACCAAACCTAGAGGCTGCGGAAGGCACCTGCCTCTTGCCTATTTCTCAGATGCCCTCTGCCATGGACACCCCTCTGTGTCCTGTGTCCCTGTGCTGATGGCATGTGGATCTCCTAACAAAAAGAAGGAAAGACTTGAGTCAGCCTTTAAGCGGCCTGCCCTGCCCTGTCCTGCTCTGCCTGCGGTGGAGGCAGTGGCATGGTTAATGCACAGTGGGAGATCATCTCCCAGTCACTTCCACCTAGAAGGGCCAGTGGGTTTTTTAAAATAATTTATTTTGGCAGCATTTAACCTTCCCTGTGTTAAGATCAAGGCTTCAGACTTGGACCCCATTTCCTGTTTTGGGCTTGGGCAGGATCTGGAAGCTAGTCCCCAGGGCTGACAGGCTGCTGTGGATCACTCAAGTGGTTAACTTGGGCGTGACTTGGGGGGGGGGCAGGTAATGGGATGGGGGCAGGGGTGTGCCCTAGGTGGGGAGAGGTGCTGGAAAGGTTTGCTTGAGTGGAATGGCATCCACTGAGTAAATCTAGAAGTCTTGCTGGAGGAGAGGGATGAGCGTTGAGCCTGGTGCAGACCCAAATGAAAGCAGAATTTGGGTAGAAAGGAATCTGACCTTGAATGTTTTTCAAAATGTGGGTAGGGAAGGGCCTTCCTGGCCTGCTGGCTGTGGCCTGGGGTGAAAGTGGGTTAGCGCAGGGCAGGTTCCAGGCAGGGCTGTGACCTGACTCCTTGTCCTCCCTCCCCTGGCCTTCTCCCCTCCTTCCCTCATGACTTGCTGTTTGGTCGCTGGGTGTGGAATCATGTGGTATAGCTTGGCCCTTGTTTTGTTTTTTTTCCTCCCCCTTTCTGTCCTCTCCCTCCTTCCTGACTCAGGGAGCCCAGGGGGTGGGATGTGGGGTGGAAAGTCCTCCCCTGGACCTTTTAGCCCTTTTTTTTTTTTTCAGAAGAGGTTCCTGTCTCCAAATCACTCCACCCTTTCCCCCAGTCCAGCTACTCTGACCAGATTGGTAGATGACATAGCTGGTGTGTAGGGGGAGGGGGCAGACAACTAAAGTCTCTATGTTTGCTACTCTGACCAGACTGGTAGATGACATAGCTGGTGTGTAGGGGGAGGGGGCAGACAACTAAAGTCTCTATGTTTGCAGGGAGGGGCTTCTTTGACTTTTCCCAGTTTGTGCTTTTCCCTTGCCTTTTCCTCTTGGCTTCTGGATTTTCCTTAACTGAGCTGGCTGAGCCTGTAGGTCCAGGTGGGCCTGTTTTCAGCCAAGAACAGTCTGTCTTGGAGAATTTGACTTGCTGTCCTTGATCTGAATGGGAGCCTTAATTTACTGTATAGAAGTCATCTTTTCCACCAGGATCTTTCTGCACCCACCTGACTGCGTTTCCTCTGATGCATTGACCTGGGTTATTTATAGAACCTGGAAGGGGCAGGAGCAGGGAGGGGGACTTATGTCTGAAACTGGCCTGATCCTCTGGTCCACTGTACCTAACAGCATGCCCACTGACAGAGGGTGAGGGCTGCCACTCCTGCTCCGGTCCCCTCCTCTGGCTCTAATGGCCACTCCTGGCGGCATTTCCTGGAGCGCCCTGGCATGGGCCACTGAGACAGTGAGTCTAAACATTGTCTGGTAGGGAAAGGGTAAGGGTGAAGAAGACCAGGGTGTACCCTTCTCAGCTTTGGATAATGGTAGAAAAGAACAGTTTCTACTCTTTAGCTCCAGGAGCCAGCTATGGTGGTCTCAGGGAGGGCAGATGTGAGATCCTGACTAGGGAAGGGAAGGCCTCATGGTTAAGAGGAGGGGTTAGGGAGATTCCGCTGAACAGGGAGATTCCGCTGAACAGGGAGATTCCGCTGAACAGATCCCAATCCCAAACCTGCCCCCTTGTGGCAAGTCACATAAACTCTTGGCACCTCAATTTTCTCATCTGTAAAATGGGGTAAGTTACACCTTCACAGGGCTGATGTGAGGGAGGAAATGAGAATGCAAGTAAAGCACCTAGTGTAGTTCTGGGCATGGTGGGTGGTCAGTGAACAGCAGTGATGGCCGAGGGAGGTTTTGGTAACAGTGTCTGGTAACCCTAGTCTGGAAGATGTCCCCCGCCCTGAAGAGCTTCTCATGTGTTGGGTGAGACTGTCTAGAACTCAGAGCCTGGGAAAGCCTCAGGACCATGGGTGGCAGGGTACACACAGGAATATGAGAGTTCCCAATGAAATGAGCTGACACTTTGCAGCCCTATGCCATTCACTTTGCTGCTAGAGGCTTGAGAACTACGGCTGGGCTTGAAGGCCTCTGCAGTCCTGAAGCAAGGCCCAGATCAGCCTGCAGCTCTGCAACTCTCCCACTGGCAGCCTTGCCTGGAGCTGCCTTTGTCCTGCTGGGAAGGCAGGACAGCCAGTGTTTAAAAACCTGAAGATGGGTTTCACTCCCGGCTCTATGAATTGTTTAAAAACCTGGAGACGGGTTTCACTCCCAGTTCTAACAGGTAGGTTACTTAACCTGTTTCCTCATTTCTTTTTTTTTTTTTTTAAAAGATGACTGGTAAGGGGATCTCAACCCTTGACTTGGTGTTGTCAGCACCACGCTCAGCCAGTGAGCGAACCGCCATCCCTATATAGGATCTGAACCCGGGGCCTTGGTGTTATCAGCACCGCACTCTCCCGAGTGAGCCACGGGCCGGCCCTGTTTCCTCATTTCTAAAAAGGTCATGATAACAATCTTAAAGTTGTACAGATTAAGTAAGACACCATCTGTAAAAGTCAGTATAGTGGATGCATAGAAGCTTTCAAAATATTAGTGTTGGGGTTATCTGGGGCCCTGCTCTGTGTGAGGGTGTTGGCTGGGGTTCTAGGTGCCTCAGCATCCTCCAAAGGTTCTTTCTCAGTGGGGTGCTCTTTGAGGTGAGGGATTTCACTAGAGGCTTCCAAATAATTGACGAGGAAATTCTCAAAACAAAATTTAATATAGCATGCAAGGAAAACTGATTATCATTGTCTCCCATCATTAAAACTGTACATGGATCATCATGGTTCCTGTGGGTCTGAAAATCCTAAGAAGATGGTGTCCACTATTTTCTTTCTAGTTTTTACCCCCAGCATCCTTCCCAGTACTCCCCAATAGGTGTTCCCTGGAAAATGTCCCTGAGCATATCAGAGGGGGAGGGAAGGAAGAAGCAGCAAAGGTTTTGTTGTGGGAAGAGATAGGGAATCTGCCATGAGGCCATTTTGGTTGAGGAGACCTGGTCTTTGCTTTGGGGAATGCTGGTCTGTGTGCATTTGGAGGAGGAGAGGGCACAACCCTGTTATGTAGATCCTCCGTCTACCTCTCTCTTGTCTTGGTATGGAGTAAAATGGAGCACAGACCATTGTCCTGGCCTATTGCACTGGTTAGAAGCTGGCCCCTTGGGAAAGCCAAGGCTGTGGATTTGATTTGGGCTGGAACCAGTTTGTCTTTTTTCATCACAAAGACTAAAACTGTTAACATAGACATTGCCAATCATGGCTCCTGAGAGGCCCTGTCAACCCCTGCTCAGACTGTGCCATTGGTTTTGGTGGGGGAGCTCAGAGAAGCCTGTGCTTTGGAGAACACAGGTCTGAGACTAGAGCCTTCTGCATGGCTGGTCATGGTGTTCTGAGACCTCCTTGTGCAGAGTGGGTTTTGGGGCTGTGGGAGGCACCTGGGGGTAAATGTAGCCTGTTGGCCTCAGGTTGGGGTGGTCTTCGAGGGATTCCATCCACCCTTAGCCTCCGGATGGCTTGCATGTAACTGTTGTGGGCAGGCGGTGTGTCACTCCACAGCCTTTTCTCGTGGTTTCCAGGTGTGACCCTGCTCTTCAGGAAGCAGCCAAAGTTATTCAGGTCCCTGGCTTTGGCTCCTGCTCCCACCCCAGATCTGGAGTCGGAGGCCTGTGGGACTGTTGGGGAAGGGTGTGGCTGCACTCAGAAGCTAATCATTAGGGCATGGAGGCTCCTTCTCCCCTAGTTATGGGCAGTTTTTATTTGGGGTTGCTCGAGTGTCTGGGGAGTGGGAAGGATAGGAAGTGTGACTCCTGTCAGGCTGGGCGGCTCCTCCTCTCCAGCACAGCAGCTTCACCCTCCCTCCACATCTGCCCCTGGTTCTGAGCCCTGGGCATACCCAGGGAGGTTAGCAGGGGCCTATGGTCAGCCCTGTCTCTGCCCTGTTCTCCCCTCCCGGTAGGGAGCCAGCAACAAGGCACAACTCAGCAGTACCTCCATCCTGGGTGACCTTGAGGGCTGTCTTTTTCCTCTGATAGGAGCTGCCGCCCCACTTGTTATTGCTGCCACCCTGGTGCTATGACGCTCTTGCTGCTGCTAAACCACTGGTCTAGCCTTGTCCAGATGTTTCCCCTGCCCTTCCTCTCCCCTCCCGGTAGGGAGCCAGCAACAAGGCACAACTCAGCATTACCTCCATCCTGGGTGACCTTGAGGGCTGTCTTTTTCCTCTGATAGGAGCTGCCGCCCCACTTGTTATTGCTGCCACCCTGGTGCTGTG